ATCAAAGGCAAAATGAAAAAAAAAAAAAAAAAAAAAAAAATATTCATTGCTCATAATACGCGGAGACATCACAAATATTTGTAAAAGAGGAAAAAACCAAAAGTACGACCCGCAAATAATCTCCATGGCGCGTGATTTGCGTTTTTCAAGCCTCCCCCCAAGAAGCCACTTACCTAGAAACCCGCCGAAATCCTCAAAGCCATGCACCCCCCCCCCCACCTGTCAACTTGCGTGTATTACCATCGGCTTCTTCTCCCGAGCGCGCATTAAGCTCTCCTCTCGTTTCAAAAGTACCAACGACTCCTCCCTCTCGAGCGCCACTTCTCCCCGAAGGAAAAAAAAAGAGAGCCCCCCCCCCTCCTTGGAGCCTTATACCCGCGATACACGTATATGTAGTTTGCTCCACAGAGGGCAAAAGCTTTTGGCGTTCGGCCAACAACAGCAACAGAGTGGAAGACGGAGCCGGTCAATCGCTACCCCCCTCCCCCCTGCACACTCACCGAAATCACCCCAAAGGAGGTTTGTTGCCAGTCACTCGGCGGCTGCGGAATCTCAGTTGGGAAGAGACACTGCGTGGTTATTTCGTCCTGTACATATATATATATAGATGGATTTGTCCTGTCGTAAATCAGAATTGCAGATGCCAGCATGCGTCCCACGTGGATTTTCAATGCTGATTGGTTTCGAGGAATGATAACATGCTAAGGCACACTTTGACTACGAGTGATAAGAAAAATTTTTTTTTTCTAACACAAAAAAACAAAAAATTTTTTACCATATAATTAAAAAACAATGTAACTCAGAAAATTTGAAAAAGAATTCCAACCCATGTCTGATTATGCTAATGGAAATAACAATTTTATTGCTTGAAAACAATTATTTGTTAAACGAGGACCTTATCCTTGTAATTGAGGACTTTTTAACTTCTGAAAAAGCTTTTATTTTAAATTTAACTCTATTATAAAGTAGGTAATTGATTTTTTGAATAGAATTTTGTTCAACATATCCTCTTAGACGCTTACTGTGATTTAAAAAAAAAAAAAAAAANGTACAACTGTACCAAAAGTCGGAGATACAATATATTACGTAGTCACAATTGTCGTATGCTTTTTACAGACTTTTTCTAAACAGCAGTTATTACATCGGCAGTTTTTTATACACTGTGGGATATGAACATTTGTTTCTTTTGTTTGGTGTGGTGCTTCAGTCCTGACCTACAGGTAATACATAAATACCAGGAAAATGAATGAATTATCTTTAACAGTTTAAAGATTAAATATGGGCACTAAATGGCACTTCGTTAAAAAATCGGCTCAGCAGTGGTTTTTAAATGTAGTCTATCCTCTCCACCGCAGTTTTACAGTACAAAATCTAATATAATAAGTCAAGGGCTCACAATGCGATCATTGCTTTTTGTGAACTTCGCGCTCGTGTCTTCCAAGATTACCAGAGGTGGTGAAGCTTTTTTGACACACAGAGCACACAAACGGCTTCTCTCCCGTGTGGATCCTCATGTGCTTCGTAAGATTTTCCGAGCTGTTGAACGACTTTTGGCAGATGGAACAGTGACCATAAGGTATGCCGCTGTGGACTCGCATGTGGGTGGTAAGAGACCTTTTTTGGCTAAATTTTACTAGGCACACCGAGCACTCGAAGGGCTTCTCTCCTGTATGAATCTTCACGTGCTTTGTGAGGTCACTGGAAGATGTGAAACCTTTTTGGCACGTGGAGCATTCGAAGGGTTTCTCCTTGGTGTGGCTCCGCATGTGCAATTTTAAATTGCTCTGGTCGCCAAAACCTTTTTGACATACCGAGCAGCTGTAGGGACGCTCGCCCGTGTGGGTCCTCATATGCTTCTTGAGGTTGCTCGTGTCGGTGAATGGCTTTTGGCAGATGGAACAGCGATAAGAAGGTATGCCGGTGTGGACGCACTTGTGCTTCGTCAGATGTATTCTGTGTCTGGAAGATTTTTGACAGTCCGAGGTTTTGGAGGGTTTCCCTTCCGTGTGGGACCTTGTAATGTGCGATAAGAGAGCCCTTTTGTACCTAAACCTCTGAGAACAATGTGAACACTCGAAGGGCGTCTCGCCCGTGTGAATAAGTTGGTGTCTTCTGAAAAGTGTCTGCGTGACAAAAGTTGCACCGCACACCTCGCAAAGTAATAAACTTTTTTTGGTGCTGCTCTTAAGGCTTAAACTTTGCTTGTGGTCCTTGAACATGCTCACTGCGTATTTGGTTATTGGAGGTAATAATAATGTTCCAGTAGTTTATGGCTGAGGATGATTCAATCTAGTCGTTGATTGCTGTAAAGAAAAAAAAAGATAAAAAATATTAATATTTCAATCGGAAACGTCATTCAGTTATCTTACAATTATCTATTCAGAATGTTGTTTTGGAACAATTTAAAAAAATTTATCTCAATTAATTAAAAAAATTATTAACATACAAATTAGTGGCTAGTGCAATTTACTTGTACTGTCACCACTAAAGATAACGATTGTAAAATTGAAATATTTTTATAATGAGAATGTCAAACAATTGGTTTTAAAATAGAAAGGAATTATTTCTTCATAGTCATATGAACACATATACTCATTATAAGTAACATATATACTCACGTGTTAATTTTCAACTACAAGTGGTTCTGTACACCAAAACGTAGTAGTCAGAACATCAAAGTCGTTTTCCAAGTGTGGTTGATTTCTGGACGCAGTATCTTGTGAATTATAAAGCCAGTCAAATGTGTAACCAAACAAAATGCAGATTTTGGTTGTTGTTTGTTGTTTTGCCGAAAATCTATAATGATGTATAATGTGTTTACATCTAAATTGCAAAGCTTATTGCATTAATATTAATAGCATTAAAAATATAGAATTCTTAGCTTAATGTTAATCTAATTTATGACTTTTCTATTCCCCTCAGACAAACAAATTTTAAATGCAACTGTTCAATGAATGAGAAGTTTTTTTTCTCTTTAAGAATGTCTTTTTTGAAACGTCTCTTATGAAAAAATCGTCAACTGCAACTGCAATGGATATATTCACGTTGCAATTAAAATACCTAAATAATGAATACTGTTTTTTATTAATTTTTTACTCATACACTTATATTATTTTAAGTAAGAAAATACAACAAAACAAAAAATTACATAATTTGTTTGTGTAACCTAATAAATTACACAAAATTTTTAACCGTGACACAGGGATGATAAACTCACAATTTAAAATTTGTTAAGCATTAGTTAGTCGTACATAAACTACAAGGAGAGATACCCAACTTGGTTGGTGTAACCGAAAAATCCCATTATATGCCTTAACTGTGCGCGCGAGCGAGTTGAACACCTATTAATTCGAGAGGGAAGCTTTCTGTGCCGTAACGTTTTCATAACCATAAAGAGATGGGAGTTAATAACACAATGGGATTACTTTGATATTCCCTTTTAGAAGAGAGAGGTGTATATATATATATATTTGATAGAGTTTGAAAACTTCAAAATATTCAAAAACCGCGTGTTTACGACAGTTGAATTATTTTAATTATCAGTCCTGTGCTATCCTTAATTTAAAAAAAAATCAAACGTAAAATATGACTTATGTTAGACTGGCCTCTAATTTTTCATCCGCCCACAAGAG